GCCTGAGTTCAACACCAGACCTGGGGCGTTACCTTCGTGGTGTTTGTATGTTTTCCCTGAGGTTCCTCCGCGTGCTGTGGTATTCTCCCCCAGTTTCAATACATACTGGTTTAAGGATGATTGGATTCCTGGAAAAGTGGCCCTGGTGTGAATATGTGTTTGTGTCTGTGTGTGTCCTGCGATGGACTGTCGTCCCGTCCAGGGTGTACCTTGCCAACACTGGATTGGAAGGAGCTGTTAGAAAACGGGTGAGCGGATATTTCACACCGTCGTCCCCTGATTTTTCTCCTGCGCAACACAGGCATTGAACTGAAAAAAGCTTTTGGATTTCGTTCTGTTTTCAAAACATTCCTTCCTGATGTTTGGCGATGCATTCAGTTCTGTGAAGAGAAAAAAAAATCTCTTTCTCTTTTCTTTATTTATATTAGATTTTGTTTTTGTACAGGAGGTTTATTTTTCCACAGGCCGTGTGCAGTCGCTAGTGACTGTGGGTATCACGTGAACCTTGCTGACGTCGTGATACTACTACACGAGGGCACCCACCTCTTCACTGTTTCATTGATTGGTTGATTAATAAACTGGTGAATTAATTGAAGGCTGGGTTCCTGATTTAAATGTATCATTGGGGACCGGTGAGGAGAGGAGGGATTTATGCCTGTAGCGTGGAGTATGTGAATAACTCCCTCTGTGTTCCTGCAGGGTGGAAGGTACATTCACAATACGGGCGCTCAGCGGTGCGCAATTAGCAAGATAAGAGTATTGAAGTTAATCGAGTTACTTAAGGAAATAAGAGCTATTGCGGAGATTAAGTTCCATGCTTATTTCGGTTGCATCTTCATATCTTTCCCTTTATTTTGCCCCACGTTCCCACGGAATATTCATCATGACAAAAACATCAGTACCTCGATAGTAGCGGAACTCGTTATTCAAAGCTGCAGGTAAGACCTGCGGACACTTTCGCTTTAACTCCTTCACGTACGTGCTACATAAGCGCCACCTAGTGTCTATTACTTCAGATGTTCGCCGGCTCGGTTTTGATTTTCGTGTTTTGTAACGTGTTTTCGCGTGGCGGGGCTGTGCCTGTGGCGTGGGCCTTGTTAAAGCCATGTTAACAACAAGCGCGGGATACGTGGATTCTGTTGCAAAGCCTCTCGATCACCGAAGTGAAAGATGTACAGACTTGACATTTCCTTTTTGTACGTAGATTTTTTTTTGTTACACTGTGGTAGTCAAAATTATTACTATAAGCACGTTTTCGTACAGATCATCGTTTCAGTGAATTAAACTGTGATCAAGAAAAGTTCTTTGGTTGCCGCTTTCAAACCAAAGCGTCTTAAATTCCAGCCGCTAATCGATTCCAGAAGATGGATGTAAAGATAACCAGGCTGAAAGGTAGCGCAGCTGTTTTCCTGTCTAGAATTCCAGTAGAGATTCCAGATTCCACATTTAGCTCCATTTTTTTTTTTACCACGAGAAATGTGTTTGTCTAACACTTGGAGAAATTAGACTTTCTTCGTATTGGCCGAATACATTGTAAAGAAACCATTTCAGCAGTTTGCAGTTGCCGCAGGAAGGGTCTAAGTTTTGAATGCGTCAATAGTTACACCCACAGAAAAGTGTCAGCTCTTTGCCCACGAAGAAAGAGAATAAGAGAATATGCGACAGCTTGAAAAATAACATCTGTCTCGTCAGCGCAGACTCCTTGGGTGAAACTGAACCGAACGTGTTTTGTCTGTTTCGCGTCCCAGTAGTGATGTTTAAATTGGCTTCATCACTCTGTTCTCCTCCCCACTGAGAGCTGGTGTGTGGGGAGCGTACTGGTGCATCATCCAGGTGGGGGCTGCACACTGGTGTTGGTGGAGGGGAGTCCTCATTACGTGTACAGCGCTTTGTGTGGAGTGTCTAGAAAAGCGCTATTGGTGTAAGCAATTATTATAAATCTGACCCTGGCATAACTATGCGCTGGAAGGGCTAAAGCACGTCAACGGACTCGGTACCAGTCTGCAGCTACGACCGAATACAGAGCTGGAGGATTCGGAGTACCAGGTCGCGGCTATGTTGGTAAAAAAATATATAAATTTTAAGAACTCCCCCTGGCAAAATCTGATCAATGAGGACACTACTGAAGAAAAAAAGTTCGAAATCATACTGCGTTATGTTAAATACAGTTACAACAGAGAAACCCTTCTTACATTTATAGTCACTCATGCATACCCCCATTTAACTGCGCCGATCTATGAAGCCTTTTCTTAACGAAGTGTTTTCGAGTATTTTGGGTATTTCAGCGACGATTTCTTGAATCCTGTTAAGGACACTTACCTGAGCGACCCCTTCTCCTTATTTTATGCCATGGAAGAAATACCGCCCAGCAACTCTGCCTAGCCCTGGCGAGCGAACAACAGACTGCATCTCCTGTAAATATTGTAGATTTTGCAGGCTTCGTGCGTGAAGATCCCTCACATAACCTTAGGGGTCCACGAGAACGCGGAAGGCTACGTACGGGTCCGTCTTGAACGGAAAGGGCAGGTTTCGCCGGAGGTTTTCCGTAGTTTGTAAAACGGTCATAGTTTGGATTTCAGAGCTACGGTGTTCACACCAGGCGGTGGTGTGAATCATTCATAGTAGGTCTCCAGTGTTATTATGCGAGGAAGATTACGTCTGCGCTTCCATCCCACCCCGCTATAAATAACCCCCCCTATTAATCAATACAGCGGCCAAACCATGTGGAGTGTCAGTGTAGCTCTGATACAAGTTCCCCTAGAGCTGGCAAACTTATTTTTTCCCGGGTGGGAATGAAGATGGATTTCATTTGTTTAATCTTTGGCCGTTTTTTTTCTGAAAATCGAATGTACAGTTGCAACAAATACCGATAAGAAGATGAATTACTTGGGCTCTTAATGTATTTTAACTGCGTTTTTATGCTACGACATAACTGCCGTTCGTGTTGAAACGCATGCCCTTGTTCGACAGTCGTTATTGACTATTTCTCCAATAACCCTTCCCTTTAACCCGCCATGTTCCCGTTTTTTTTAAAAGGCGCCCGAGCTCTGCAAGAAACGTACAGCTGGCATTCTTCCATACTTGTCCACTAGGTGGCGCGCTTCACTTAGCCGAGGACTCCTTCTTCAAAACGTCTTTGAAAACAGTTGAGCAGAAAGTGTTGGCACGGCTAGTAAATAAACTAAATTGTACGTGATGGCCGGTCAGTTGTGCCACCTAAAATTGAGATGGAATACTCGCACTGGATGTTCACTTCTGAAGAGCTGGAGAAGAATGTGGTCTCCAGTTGTGTACATTATGGCTCTGTATCGCAGCGTATCTTGTCTGTATTAGTGCCATCGTCTCTCTTAAATATCCACGAGTCCACGTTTTTTAAAGACCTTATCCTTGAGGGAAACGATGACAGTTATTCACGGTTATCCTCGTTTGACAAGCCTACTTGCATTTTTAACTGTTTAAAATATTGCGTAAGGTTTTAATGAATTTTGATCATTTCTTTTACTGATGTTTCTCCATAGCAGGAAACGGTACATATCCTGCAGGAGTCATGTTCTATTAAAACTGTAGATTTGAGATGGTAAGCTGTGCTTTCTTTCATATTTGGAATAAAGTATCATTTTTCTATGGATGTGGATTTGAACTGAATTGAGCATTGCCCTGGCTCAAGTGCCTGAAAGACAGCCCAGGTTTCAGTCTGTATTTTTGTTTCCCAGTGCTGGTGTGGACAGGTCACTGCTGGGGTCACAGCCTGCAGTGGTTGTCCCTGTTATGGACAAGCTCTGGTCGTTTGAATCACTCTTGTGCATTATATCCTGTCATACAGGAAAACGGCTTTTATATAAAAATAGAAGGACCTTCTCTGTTGTAATACATTACTATCACAAGGAAAACAAGCTCTAAATCGGACACCATACGTTTACAGGATAATCGGTTAGAAATGCATCTCTGATAGATTTCTGCTGCTGGTGGTGGTGTGGTGATGGATATTCATAGCAGGTAGTACAGTGGTGACCATCACTGCCTCATAGCGCTAGGGCCCAGGGTTCAAGTCCTGGGGTGTTGTGTGGAGTTCTCCCCATTTTCATTCTCCAGTTACTTCCACGGTCCAAAGACCTCTTTGGTTCCTGGCCGTGGTGCGAATTGGTTTCTGTCCTGGGATGGACTGGCGTCCCATCCAGGGTGTGTCCTGCCTTGCCCTCATTGCTTGTCAGGACAGGCTCTAGCTCCTCCCAAAACCCTTTGTTGGATAAAATGATTAGAAAATAGATGGAAGGGATTTTTTGGGGGGACAAAAAAATGGCATCGGAAAATGTCAGATCGGGTGCAAGCCACTGATTACAATCTGTATCGATTAGCTTTTGAAGTGAGAAGGGGTAAGGGGAATACTTTCCAATTGGATATTGTGCTGAACCCTATTGTGTGGAAACTGGACCCTAAATACTTTTCTATACCTTTCTCATTATTGTTGGTTACACAAACGTCTTAAACCTTTTTTTCTCGCATTTCCTTTTCACACAATTCAATAAAAACTACGGTAGAGAACATTTTCGCATTTGATGTTAAACCACCCTGTGAGTATGCAACACACCCGAAGTGAAATAATTACTATCTGTAAGTATACATATCTGTTTTATAACACCCCCATCCCCTTAAGCACATAGTTGCATATAATAACGATAGAAAAAAACGTGGATTTTGTACCCAATACGATTAGGTTTTGTACGATACGATGCTAGAAAAACCTCAAAGACAAATAAGTCATGTATAAAATGTTTTTCAGTTTATTTTCAAATACAGATCATTAAATACGATCTGAAATCGATGTTTGTTCATATTATGCACTATCAATGCTGAACTGTAAAAAACACTATAAAAATGATACTTTTTGAAGTAATTTCTTTTACACAATAATTATATTCTTAAACACATCAATATAAAGACAGAAAATACATTATAAATATTATACAGATAAAATAAATATTAAATAAATAAATCTGACATGTTTGGTCTTTCACTGTTAAATAAATATAAGGCTGGCTACAACGGCAGCCGTAATAAAACGCTTCTGCATATGATGGAGATGTGAAGCCGTGGAAACGTTTACAGTTTCTGCATTTCTTTCCTCATCAGGTTGGCGAGTCGGTTCAGTTCTTGCAAATGTCTGATGACGTGATGCCTGACAATCTCCCAAGCATCAGCGCTGTATTTCTGTAAAACAATAAAAAAAAACAGAACCTTTACTATTAACTGTAACGACACCAGTAATGACGGCAACTGCCTCTATTTTAGAGCAACTAGTAACGTATTAAAATACCTCCCAACCCTAACCTACAGACTTGAACAGAAGGAAAAGGCCACCTCGCTCTTTATCGTTGTCTTATTCAACTGCTTGTTTGTGCGCACCGATATACTGGCGAGAAATACGCCTGACTGAGGACTCCTTACCGTCTTTTTCAAAATGCTTTTTTCCAGCTTCTTAAAGTACGCCTGTAGTTTCTTATGTTGTTTCTTCGGCGCTTGCTGTAAAAATAAGAGTAAATATTAATAACCTGTAGCCGATTATACCAGTTTTCACCGTATTATCTGTTAAGCGCCGTCGTGGTATTTAGTGGGCTCCACATTTAAAGGAGACGGCGTCTACAAGCGAGATCTGGTTTGATATTGGGAAAAACCACACGTTTGATCTGTAATTTTGCAGAACTATCACCAGATGTCCTCGCGTTTCCCATTTTTTTAAAAGAAAAACATAATCCTATATATAGACACTTACATTTAAACGACTAATTATGCGTGCCCCGCCAATTATTTTGATCATAATACAGTCATTTTGTCAACACGCGGTTTACCTTGGTTCCAGCACAGCTCCGCATCTCGCGAGCCTGACGGTGGAGGACTTCTGTGAACTCGTTCAGAAGACTCCTGTCCCAGGTCACCGAGTCCAGATTCCCGGCGTAGAGGTGCAGAAGGTGACGGAAGTTCTCATTCACGAACGCAATTTTATGTTCCATCTGTAATAGCAAATAAGCAGCAGTTAGTACCTCGGTTATTAGCAGTATACATATTCAAAATACATAAATGACGATAATCCTGTTGGAAGACGTGTGGGAGAACTTACGCTCATCTTCCTGGCTCGATTGTACAGCGGCTGTGGAAAGCGAACATCTCCGGTGTCCACCACAATCTCTCCGCCCTGCAAGGGAAGACCGTTAAAAGTTCGTTCTTCACGCGTTTGACTTATCGTTATTGCAGACTAGCTGGACACAGATTTGCAAAGGATAAAGGATGTCTCCGGCAACGAATAGCTAAGCTAGATATATATATGGCGAAATTGTGATCAGTCGTGAACGAAATTAACACGCATGTTGTATACGTCTGTCATCCTAAGTAGAGCCAGCCACACATAACGTGTTTGAAAAAAAAACAACTTGAGTTATTATTTTTTTTTACTAAACCAAACTGTTTCTACATTTAAGAAGTAAGACAAGCGAGAAAGGAAGTAGACACTCAGCATCTGACGTTTTCATTCTAATTGACAAACTTACCATCTTATTGATGAGCGATAAGGCGTCTCTGCTCACGATATTATATCCGTTCGCGATCCACCTGCATCCCAGAGCGCAGGTCTGGCTGCAGAGCAGGAGAAACAGGCATTTCCACAGGCTTGTCGTCTCCATCGTCGGGATTGTCCGGTCGTGCGGAGGAACTGAGCTCGAAGCGGTTTAAATAAAAGAGTGCAGCAGGAGCGAGGAGAGTGTCTGCTTGTTCTCGGAGAGATGCTCGGTTTGCTGTTGTGATCCATCTTGCTCGCCCGTCGGTCCCGCTAATAAAGGCGATTCTGCGCTAGGTGTGAAAAGTGAAAACGGGAGAGCTGCCGCTCGGAATTTTCTTTTCAGCTCTTTACTTTCGGTTTCCAAATCCAACAGCTCCTGTATGGAAGACGCTCTCTCCGCGGTCTGTGTCCGAAGATCAATTTTGTGATCTCAATTTACATTTGCGACTTTGATTCCAAATATATATAGGCGTATTTTAAAATGTGTACAATATTCATAATTTGTAGTGTTATCTGAGAATTTATACTGAGGGTATACCTTGAAACGCGTGGACACTTTGTCTAATTTCAACACCATTACACAATCGCTTTAAACATCAGAACCATATGTCCAACACTTACCGCTTTTAATATTATTGTAAATTAGGTTTACTGTAGATTTATTCGAGATCTTCTAATAAACTAAGCTGGACTTTAACTAGACGCAATGTAGAAAATAACATGTTTTCCTTCTCTCTCTTCAGAATAACCAACCAGGTTGAAAACCCGAAAAAGATCGCCTGCTTTTAGATACGAACCGTAATTTTTGGAAAGAAACACGTCTTTGCAGAAGCATTTTCCGTTTATAGTCATAGTGAAGCAATGCTCGTATTAATGCACGTAAGTTTTGATCGAGTGAAGAAACGTCTATTTCTTCACAAGTCACGCAGTACAGCGACTGATTCCCTTTAAGAGTCTAAGAAAAATAGTCGTCTTAATCCTCTCAGAAAACAGGCTAAAATTTGACTTTAAGCATACTAATTAAAAATTAAAAATCCTACTTCCCGTCTTCACGAAATCTACGAATAATTCAAACAAAATGTAGAAACTTGCATGATATTCTTTGCTTTATCGATCTCCGTCTTGCTGAAACTCTCCGGCGGAGCGGAGTGAAACTCGGCTCGAGCAGAAGGAAAGCGAAAAGCGGGGAGTCCCGGCGCCTGGCCGCCGCGGTGCAGCCTGGGATCGCCCGTGCTGTCCCTTTCTCTTCGACCCTTTCGAATCGATGACGTTGCGGCGCTTGTGTGCCAAGTGAACGTCACAGCCGGGCTCTGTTGCGTCACCTTTTCACTTTGCGTGGCAAAGGGAATGTGTAGGGTGATCTTAATAAGGCCCGGCGAGGTTCCTAAAGGATTTGTACGACCAAGGAAGCGATAATGGTGGAGGTAGCCTTATAACGGGCAGGAGCACCAGGTCGGAAAAAAAACCAACCGCTTTGGAGCTCCGTCCGGGAGGTAACTGACCGAAGTGAGAAGAGATGCAAGGATATCTGCTCCCGCTGTGGGAAGCTGTAATTATTAGTGTAATGTCACACTTCCTTAGTCTCTCAGCTTGTCCCCAGCCCGTGTCGTATCCAATTCACTCCCCCCCCGAGGGTCCCTCAATGTGCAACACACCACACTTTTAATCGGCACGTTCAAATGGGGGTGAAAATGTTCCTTATTACGGCTCTTTCTGTTGCTGCTGTGGGGCATCCTAATAAGATCACTTTATTGGTTATATACAATTTCTTGCTTTAGGAATCTGTCTTGTCGCAGACCCCAGCTTGCTCTCCATGAGACACACAGACAGGGAGAGAAGCTGGGGGTCAGAGCGCAGGGTCAGCCATTTATTCGGCGCCCCTGGGGCAGCTGAGGGCTTCCTCTTCCGGCTTCGGGATACGAACCGGCAACCTTTCAGCCACAGGCGCAGATCCTGAGCCACAGAGCCACCCAGTTAAAAAATAAAAAGACCAATCATAATCGAGTACAGAATTTAAACAACAGAATTTATCTGTATCGCACGTTTCTGACCAATTCCAATATTCCCTCGTGGCTTCTATTGTGTGGGAAAAATGATACGGGTTTTTATTCAACAAGGATGTCTTAGACCGTGTAGCTGAATCCAGAACGGGCTCTGAGCGCTGCTCTGCCTCATCACCCCCTGGTTTAGCTCGGGTTCGAGTCTGACTTGCATTGCGCTCTGTATCCTCCGATACGGACAGATCAGTCTGTCATGACCGGCCCTGTGACAGGACAAGCTGGGGTCGTTCGCTCCTGCGCATTATATCCCGTCATGCAGGGCAACAATTAAAATACCGCACAAGGTTTGTAAAATTCAAAGATTTATTGTGCAAAATTACAATCACAAGGGGAATGGTGATGCATTAAGTAAGTAGTCAAGATTTGTTTCTGTTTTTCCTACAGACACCATTTAAAAAAGGGCACATTGAGAAATGTTGACTGATTAATAGGTTCAGCAAAACCGCAATAATACTGAGCTTTTCCAATTTTATTTTTGAAATGACACCATCAAAAAAAAAATGTTGTTCCCAGTGCAAGTAATTGTAATCTGGAATACGGTTTATTCGTATAAAGTAAAACGCAAACGAGCAACAGTGAAAAATGCACACAGGGAAGTTGGTTGCTTTTCAAATGAAACCTTGTAGTATACTGTACGTTACTTTCAAATGTCTGCTTACAACCCCTACAGTGAAACACTTGTATTTGTAAGCGTGTGTGTTAATCCTCTCCGTCAGATACACAAGTCGTAATAAATGCATTAAAATACATGAAGTATTATTTTTAATATGATTAAAAGTAATACGATCAGAAAAAAACGTCAATAATACTGAGCTTTTCAAATATTTTGACTGAATTTTATTTTTAAAATGCCGCCATCAAACACGCTATACCCATTGCAAGTAACTAATTGTGATCTGGATTATGTTTTTTCCTTGTAAATTCAAGTAACCCCCCAAAAAAATAAAAATACATCCAGGAAAGTAGAATACGTTTCAAATGGACATGACACCGAAGTTTGTGATAGTGGAACAACTGGACCTAAAATCCTTATTTACCTCGTTTTCTCGATGTCTTTGGCTAAAAAAAATACATATTGAAAACCTTTCTCAAAAACTAACCTTTTAACACAATTCAAGAAAACTATGGTGGTGAACATTTACTTTTAGATTTGGGTGCGCAATATACCAACAGTGATATATGTCTGTATCTGTAAGTATAGACAAGTGTTTTTAATCCTTTGTCAGCTGCATTGGCCATTATTCCAATGTTTCGATTAAAAATGATTCTGGTTTCTTATTACAATTGACACGTACAGTACTATATACAGAAATAAAATACTGTCAATAGAAAGTTAAAAGAGATGCTTGGTTTATTTTTTACAGTAATACTTATTACACACATTAATTAATAAATATTCAATATTAAATAACATACACATCAATCGGAAACCGGCTTTTTCATGTTGTCACTGGCAAAGAAAAATAGTACAAAAACTGTATCAAAAAATAGTTTGAAATGCATTCTGAGGTATAAAAAATATATAAAATAAGTTAAATTCTGCTCTAAACACTTATCAAATACATAAATAAATATTACTTAAGACAAATAAAATAAATAGTTCAAAATTTTAAATATCTTTTAAATAAATAAATATTTTGTTTGGTCTCTTTCACTCTTGGGTTTTTACAGCGACTGCAGTTCCAGCTGCAGTAAACCTTGTCCAACGTAATTGAGAGGTTAAGTCTCAAAAAGTCTGCATTTCTTTCCTCATCCCACCGGCGAGCCTCTCCAGTTCTTGCAAATGTTGAAAAGTGTGTGTTCTGACGATTTCCCAAGCACTGGCGCTGTATTTCTGAAAAACAAAAACAAAGCCCTTGTTATGAATGATGATCGCTCTATTATTCTTCTCGAAGGTCGTGTTGGGGGGGGGAGAGAACGCGATATATCCAATAAATTGGGGAGCAAAGGGGTGTCCTTACCGCCTTTTTCAAAGTGTTTTCGTTCAGCTTCTTAAAGTACAGCTGCAGGTTCTCGTCTCTTTTCTGGGACGCTTCCTGTAAATGACGAGATCAGTCATTATTCATTCGTCCGGCTGTCGACTGAAAACGATTACATCGGGCTTCCACGCCCCCTGGTACTCACACAGCTCCGAAGCTCGCGTGCCTGGCGGTGGATGACGGCTATCAATTTGTTCAGAAGACTCCTGTCCCAGGTCACAGAGTCCAGATTCTCGGCGTAGAGGCGTAGAAGGTGATGGAGGGTCTCATCCATGAACGCAATCTTATGTTCCGTCTGTTACGGCGAATAAAAAACGGTGAGTTGCATTTATACTGCATTATTAGCAGTATAAATATATAATTTAATGATAATCCTGTGTGGGAGAACTTACGCTCATCTTTCTGACGCGATTGTACAGTGGCTGGGGGAAGCGGACATCTCCCGTGTCCACGACCGTCTCTCCGCCCTGCATGCAAAGAACAAAGCATCTTGGCTCAAGTTCATCTTCACAAGTCAAATAACATTCGTGTTTTGTTTTGTTTTTTTTGCAACGCTCGCTGATGCAGGAATCGGCTTCTTTGTTAATACACGGTAAGCATGATTACATTCCATTTTATTAATCCGATGTTTTACACACCCTTGGATAGATCCTCACAAGCTTATTTAAAAATCTGTTTTGTACTGGTTCACATTTATTTACACGAAATGTTTTTATAGTCAAGAAGTAAGACAAGTGATAACTTTTTCTGCATGCGTTCGCGAAATTATATTGCGAATTCTTAATTTATTCGCACAATAGGAAATGCTTTAACTTCTGAGCGTCTTGCATTACTATTTTCGTCGTTCTGAGAGAATATTGACAAGCCCCGACATGCGCTCTGAAGTGTAACTTACCATCTTATTGATGAGCGATAAGGCGTCTCTGCTCACGATATTATATCCGTTCACAATCCACCTGCATCCCAGAGCGCAGGTCTGGCTGCAGAGCAGGAGAAACAGGCATTTCCACAGGCTTGTCGTCTCCATCGTCGGGATTGTACGGTCGTGCGGAGGAACTGAGCTCGAAGCGGTTTAAATAAAAGAGCGCAGCAGGAGCGAGGAGAGGGTCTGCTTGTTCTCGGAGAGATGCTCGGTTTGCTGTTGTGATCCATCTTGCTCGCCCGTCGGTCCCGCTAATAAAGGCGATTCTGCGCTAGGTGTGAAAAGTGAAAACGGGAAGTTTTCACCCGCGGCTCTCTGCTTTCTCTTTCAGTTTCCGCCGGAAGGAGCGCGCAGAAAGCGTGCTCTGTATCGGACTCGCACTCTTGCGGATTAAATACTTAAACGTCTGTTAATTGTGTTTGTTTTACTGTCATTTTATTTGAGCGTTTCGCGGGAGGCAGATATCAAGACCCGACCATCCGAAAAGGTCTGTTCTTTAATAATTATAACGTTACTTTATTAACCCTTTACAATTTCTTGCGTTAGGAATGATCTTTTCGCAGACCCCAGCTTGCTCTCCATGAGACACAGACGGAGAGAGAGCGCTAGTTGTGCTGCCCACGCTTAACGCTTTGTGAGGATCTTCACAATTAAAAAATATCTGCGTATCTGTATTATATCGCTAATGCCTTATTTGATTTCGCAGTGCGTCTGCACAACTGTCCCGCAGACATCACTGGAGGTCTTCGTCTGGCGTTCTCTGGTAGCTGTGCAACTGAAGAAAGAAGATCTTATCCCCGTTTTGGGTTCCATTGGGTTCCATAAAGATAATTTAATTCTCCTTTCATCTTTGAAGGACACTTTCCGAAGTTAATGCGCTGCAGCCATAGAGGTCGCTCGAGGGAAAGAGAGACGAAAAGTGAAAAACGCCGCTGGGAAGCCCGGAGCTGCTCGCTTTCTCTGGCAGGGTTTTCGAATCCATGACGTCAAGGGGTTTCGCTTTCAGTGCCAGCCTGCGACCTGGGACGAATGGAACGTGTACGCGGCGCTGTTGCGTCACCTTTCACTTTGGTCTCTCTGTGAAATTCTGTAGAAGTGTGGATCACCGTAGGGCGGCTATCACCAGCTGGCCTGGATCTCACTGGGACCTTCCGTGGTCCTCGAGTTTCTTCGTGCCCGTTCCTAAGTATGGGCGGCGGGGTGAGCGGTCTCATCTCCCCCTGGTGGCCCCTGCAGTGGTTTAAAAAGAAATTGCCGTAAAGAACACTGTTTGGGGAAAATCGAAGTCCTCGTGTTTAATTTTGTGCCGTTAAACCAGGAAAGAATGTAATGTCTGCATTATCTACAGCAGTTCTTTCTTCATTTCAGTCTCTGACTTTCTGACAATAGCCCAGTCTACGCTAGCAATTTCCAGTCAGGCTGGTCTGTCTTTCTCCTACACGGAATTCATCAGGAATAACAACACCCACGACTGATTTAGGCGGATTTAAAGTTTCTTAAAGTGTAGTAGTCACTGCAGATCTGGCTCGGTTGAGGGGCGTCCCCTTTTGCAGAGCACGAGGGGGTGAGGAGGAGTGAGGAGGGTCCAAGACGCAGATGAGGGGGAGATGGGGTGGAGGAGGGACACAGGAGAGATTCAATTTTTTGTCATTACACTTCCACAGGTGCATAGTATAATGAAAAGGGTTTCTCATTAGTCTCTCAGGTGCAGTATATACAGAACAGCAGACAAGACAATAGACAGAAAACACAATAAAAGTGTAAACAACGGGTATGGTACCAGTGGAACAGTTCCCATATCTGTTAAAAACTGTGCAAAAGTACACAAACGGAGCAAAACGGTGCAAAATTAATATGGCAATTATCAAATGGTACACCTACACTCAAGTACAGTTTTAAGTTAAAGTTTGGCTTACATTCAATTGTTGGAGGTATGGTGGATGTAGTGGTGTAGGAGTACGTTGTTGTGGGTACAGGAAGAAGTGAGCAGAGATCGTACTTTGGTGGGTGGGTCACCAGCGTGGCAGCTCTGGGGAAAAAGCCATTTCGGAGTCTTTTTGTGTGCGACCAGTAATGTCCTCTGACCATTCTGATTAGTATTAATTCTGCTTCAAGATGTTATGAAAGACCAAAGCAGACTCTGTCTTTGTGTAAAAGTTAAATAGTTTTATTATAAAAACTGAATACAACTCTTTGGACACAATAAAAC